ACTTCAGGAGGGAGTTCTCTTCCTGCTTGTCACAGCTGTGTCCTCAAGGCTCTGGGCAGTGCCTTGAGGACACAAGGAGGTGTTGTGCTAATAAAAACAGACACCACGGACCCTGCTCATTTCTGAAACCAGTGGCAGGTGAAGGGGGCTCATTAGCACTGTACCTGTGGTTCCATTTAAAAATCCCTTTACAAACATTAAAAGAAACAAAAATGGCTTAAAAAAAAAAAAAAAAAAAGCACCAAGTCTCTGACAAGTGTCCATGGACTGGAGACAGGATACAGAGAACAAAGACAATAATAAAGAGGAAATGAGGGCTGGGGATGTGGCTCAAGCGGTAGCACGCTCGCCTGGCATGCGTGCCGCCCGGGTTCGATCCTCAGCACCACATACATACAAAGATGTTGTGTCCGCCGAAAACCAAAAAGTAAATATTAAAAATTCTCTTTAAAAAAAAAAAAAAAGAGGAAATGAGAACAAGTAGATTCTGCCTGCTAAGAGGGGCCTGTGCACAACACAGGCGGCACTGGTCTCCTGCTCCACCAAAGCAGGGGCTGCTCGGAGAGCCTTTGCCCACAGTGTTGTACCTGCACATCCATCAAGGGGTTAAACTGTCCCCAACTAGGAAGCACAGCAGGCCTTCCCTCCTTCCCCCACCCTCACCTGCTAATCTGCTGATCTTAGTGTGTGACTCCTGCTCACCATGTGCCTCAGAGCTACCACTTAGCTGTTCTGTTTGGGGACTGAACTCCCACCGGGGCAGGCGAGAACAGAGCTCCCTTCCCCCGCCCTTGACCCTTCACACGCCTGCTATCCCCTCCCCACCTGGTCCCCACACAGGCATATCATTCCAATTAGAGTAGCAGTGAGTGTTTATCCACACTGTCACCAGTGTGGAGAGACTATTCACAGCTCGTCCTGGACACCGTAATTATTTTTCTTTGCCTGCACAATGGTTTATTTTCCTGGGAACTAATAACAGTCTTGTGTTTTCCTTTGCTTTGTTTTCCATGCACTTATCACTAATCCAGACCCAACTCTGCCAAGGTTTAAATCTCCTCTGCAGATGTCCCAGCTCATCAGGTGTCCTGTTAATTTCATCATCTCCTTCTTCCAAAAAAAGTCCCTTCAAGGAGCTTTGTGAGGGGCTCAGGGCAGGGACCTCAACTCCCAGGGAGCTGCCAAGCACCAGGCCCCACCCTGCCTGCAGCCAGCTGTCTCCCCACCGCCATCTCTCTCTGGCGCACCAGCATGTGCGGGGATGGCATGTTGGCCAGTCACCTCCTTAAAGTTCAGAAGTGGCAAATTTGGGGAAGTTCTTGGAGATGTCAGTTCTACCCTCCTGCCCCTCACGGTTGACAGTGTTTTCCTTCAGAATTTTGAAAGCAAAGATCTTTGATCTTCTAGTGTCCAAGGCTCCTGTGGAGTCCAAAGCCATGCTGCTTCTTGGTGAGTGGGGACCCGTCTATGGTCTGTTTTTATTTATTTTTTGCTAGAAGCTACCACAGATTCTGTGTCCCCGTGTTCTATGAACCTGCAACAGGGTGCCTTGGAGCGGGCCTCAGAGATCTTTCTCCAACTCACTCATCACTTAAATTCTGGAGCTGACAGCATCACTTTCAGATGAATCCCTTGCATGCCAAACTTCCACTAGTCTCTGCCTGAGACAGCATCCCTCACCCCCAGATCCTCCTGCCCAGGCTGGGTGGGGATGGAGCTCTGCACACCAGGGCTACCTGCGCTCTCATCCTTGGTGCTGGACACTGGAGCCCCTTCAGTCTGGCAAGTATGTGGGTTCCAGAAGTTATTCTGTGAATGATTTCATGCTCTTTTCTCAATTCTTTCTTGCTAAAACTCTTAATATTCAGCTGCCGATCTCCTGAACTAATTCTTTGATGTTCTTCTTTTTTTTCCCTCTCATTTTTTTCCATCTCACTGCTTTTCTGTGATACTTTGATTTTATTTTATTTTTGTGGTGCTGGGAATTGAACCCAGGGCCTTGTGATTGCCATCTGTTCTACTTTCTGAGAGTTTCTCAACTTTATTTTTTACTTGCAAACTGGGTTTCTTATTTCCACTGTCACTCTCTATATCCAAGGCTTCTCTTTTTGGATCTCTGAACATTCCTTTTTTTGGTAAAACTTTCCATCCTTGTTCTATGTCTGCAATATCTTCTCTCCTCTTCACTGCAGAGCAGGGGCATCTGCTTCCCGGGTCTCCTTCCTGCACACTGGCTGCTGCTCCCAAGCAAGTGTCCCACCCGGGCTCTCACATCAGGGTGCTTCTTCGGTGTCCTTGGTTAGCTGTGCACACTTCAGGGATGGGGGTAAAAGAATCTGGGTGCTTTGAACACTGGGAGACGGTTATTAATTGTGAACTCTGTTAGTAAGATCCTTCTTACCAGGATCCCCCTTTGTTGATATTTTTAGGTCTTTTCTCTTGGGCTTCTCAGATTCCCCAAAGACTTAGCCATCTTTCTGCCTGGAGGGAAAGACCCACTGGTCATGTTCTGGAGCTTTCTTGTGGCATTCGCTTGTGTTCTGAATAGCAGTGCACCTGCCCCCCACCCCCGCCCATTCTCAGTGGTGCCTGGTGTTTCCCATTCTTGTCTGAAATACTTTTTTTTTTTTTCTTTCTGAAATACTTTTAAAGTTTCTAAATAGTTACAGAAACCACCTCCTTGGTTAATAGCAGGAAGCATTATGTCAGAAGGTCAGTTATCTCCAGGCACCAGCCTTGACTAGAGCCACCAACTGGGTGTGAAGCTTACAGCTACTTTCTGAAGAGAAAGAATATGAAACTTGAAACTAAAGATTTTAAAATTAGAGATTAGCTGCATTTGTTTCAGAATTATCAATAACCAGTCTCTTTTCTACCTATGGCACCTTCAGCCCTGGGCCTCTCTAGAAGAGAATCACCCACCAGCCTTGATACTTGTGCAGAGTGACAGTGACCTGCATGGCCACAGGCAGCCCCATAGTGGGCTACGTTTTCCCGGCTCCTGCTCCCACCCTGCTCAATTCATCATCAAAGATGCCAACAATGCCCTCAGCGCCCATTCAAGACATCCAGCTACCTCTGCCTTCTCTCTGCCTCTCCCCGCAGCCCACAAGACACCACCACCCAGGCGAGTTTCCAGCTTCTTGCAGCCCCCCATTCTCTCAGCCACTGTCTTCAACACCCCCACCCCCTGTAAGCCTAACCAACAGTCTGCATCTCCCCAGGCCCTAAATCCACCTTCCCTATTTCCACTAGTATGACTAGCCTGTCTGGAATACAGATCCAACCATCTTCCACCCAGACCTCAACTGCTCCTCTCCAAGGGCATGAAACTCAAACTCCCCAGCTTGGCTTTCCAGGTCCTTCCCAATCATAAATGCATCCTTCCACCCAATCCCCATTCCAGGAGGAACAGGGCAACTCACATCTCCCAGGTATCTCCACTTCCACCGCTCTGCTGCTACTCTGTGATATTAAGAAACAAACTATCAATATGTGCACAGTGTAGACGAATTTCAAATGTATTATGAGGGGTAAAAGAAGTCTGTCTCAAAATGTTGCATACTGACTCCATCAGAGTCTTCCCCAAACTCATCCCCCAAGGCCTGCTCCACTGTGGAAAACTTCAACTCCATCCACTAAGCTGAGCTGCTCCCTCTTCCCTCGCCCTGCCAACAGTGTGGCTTGTAGCACCAGCCACCCTGCATTAGCTCCAGCTGACCATGGAGCAGCCAGCCCAGGGCAAGGCCCTTGGATGTACACTATCCAGCCCAACTTGCTATCCTGCAGTGACTGGAGGTTTGATGGAGTTGGGGTGCATCGGGTGAGCCGACCCTGCCAGCCTGCAAGCCTCAGCACAAAATCCTATGGACTCATGTGCAAGCCCCTTGCCATCCCAGACAGACACACTTCAAACCCACAAAAAGGGGATTTCACATGGCAATTTCCAAATTATCCTTGTTTTCTCTCCTTCCACCCAGACACCAGCGCTGACTCACATTCCCAACACATGATGCTCCCAGAGAAGGGCTGACCCAGGCTAAGCCGGGTCCTGCCGTGGGGGCAGGGAAGACCCAGAGCACTGATGACAACGCAGGGCACCCGCAGACAGACGCCGGGACTTCACATTCTTATTCATCCCGGGTCTTCCGAGTCCCTCCGGTGTCGGATTATAAAATAAATAATTTAATAATTGTGAAAACACTACAGCTTGTTGTGCGCCCTGCCAGACGGAACCCCTGTGCGGGCCAGGGGCTGGCCAGCCATGCCTTTGGGCCAAGAGCCCAAAGAGAAGATAGGTCCTCCTGTGAGCGGCTCATGCAAGGCTTCCTCCCCCTGAAGAGGCAGGGGCTCCGACTGGAGCAAAGGGTCACTTAGGTGATGCTCTGCTACCTCCGCCTGGAGCTGGGGTCTGCGCTCTGCTGGCCTGACGCAGCGAAGGGAAGCGGAGTTGGAGCAGAAAGCCGCCCGCACACTGGGGGGGAGGTGTAGACCGGGGGGCTTGGGTGGGTGCACAGTCTCTGCCTGCGGGGCAACGCACACTAACCACCGCCAGGGCGCCACTGGACGGGTTCCGCGGGACACTGCAGCACCTTTGTCATCTCTCAACAATTATTGATTCTGCTCGCAGATGCTCAAGCAGCCAAAGAACAAAACTGCTAACGCCGGCAGGGCCAAGAGCTCGGTCGCCGGAGGAGAGGTGGCCCGCAGATGGGTAGGGGAACAGGCGGCCACACGCTTTCTCCGCTCATCCTGCGGGCCAGGACCCCGCAAGCAGAGGGTTCAGAGAGGGTGATCGCCAGGCCAAGGTCACACAGCGGGCCGGTGCAGGGACTCGAACCCGGGCCACGCCGGACCTGCCAAGGCCGGGCGGGGAAGACTGACCCGCGCCCTCAGCCGGCCAGAGCGCTTCTCACTCGCGAGACTCCGGCCCGTCCCCGCCTGGGGACCGAGTGCCGCACGCTCCGTCCCACGCCCTCGCCCCGCGCTCCTTTCCTCACCTTGTCCCGGCGCCCCTTTCCTCGCCTCGCCAGCCTCCGCCGCCACGGCCGCGCGACTAGCGAACCCTCCCCAGGCACAGCCCCGCCCCCGGCGCCGAGGTCCCGCCCCCAACATCTTCTCGCGAGAATTCGCCGGCGGAGCCGCAGAGACAGAGGGCGCCCCCTCTCAATGCGCTTGCGCCCTCCGCACACCGCTCCCGCTATTCCGTGCCATGTGGCGCGGTATTTACCGCCAGCGATCAGCCCCGCCCACCGACGAGCGGGAGCTCCACCCCCTCCCCAGCAGCCAATCCTCAGCCTTGATCCTCCCGCGGCGGGGGCGGGACCCGGACGCTTCCACGGCCTGAACCCGAACCCTGGCAGGCGTTGCAGCCAGATGCCACCCGGTTAACCCACCTCCAGGAGTCTCCCGCCGTCTACCGGCCGCGTTCGGGAGCCGAACTTTTGATGCTCACCAGCTGGGACTTTGGACTCGCTGTGCGCCTGGGGAAAATGACTTAACCTCTCTGAAGCTGTCTCCAAATTCATTAAAATTTGGATAGGGACACGACCTTAAAGGGAGCTTGTGAGAGTCAAATGAGACGATGCGTGCGTATAAAGTGCTCAGCGTAGCGAGCGCGCAGGGCATCATTCTTAGCGTCACATTCAAACATTTTTTTTTTTTCACACCAGTGAAACTCCACATCATGTACAACCTCAAGAATGGAATCCTGATTAGAATGAGTTATCCTCCATGTGTGTATACTCCACTGTCAGGTATATCTAAAAAGAAGAAGGTGTGCACTCCAGCTGCTAGGAAATGCAAAATGGTGTGACCCCTTTGGAAGAGAGTGGGGCAGTCTCTGATACAAGTACACACCTTTCTAACAACCCAGAAACCCACTGCTATATATTTGCCTAAGAAAATGGAATTCATATTACCACAAAACCTGTATGTGAATGTTTTCATGGCTTTGTTCCCAGGTGCTCCAAACTGGAGTCAGCCCAAATATCCTGAACCTGGTAAATTAACAGTGATACATCGATGCAATGGAGTGTCACTCCGTGATATTAAGAAACGAGCTGTCAATATGTGCAACAGTGTAGATGAATTTCAAGTGTATAATAAAGGGCAAAAGAAGTCTGTCTCAAAATGTTGCATACTGAGTCCATACAAAGGATATTCTGGAAAAGGCAAAACTGTAGACAGGTGCCTTCTAGGGATTGGCGTTGGGGAGGGGGTGACTAGGAAGGGAAGAAATTTTAGAGGGTTCTATGTCTTGATGGTGGTGGCCTCGGTGGCTGTGTGGCCACATGTTTTTGTGGACACCCATAAGGCTGTACACTCAAAGGATGCATTTTGTCTTATGCAAATTATATCTGTATTTAAAAATCTTTAAAAATGTCATTTCCCCCAGCTGAGATTTTTCTAGTTACTGAGAAGTGCCTCATAATGAGGATTAGATGAAATCATGGATCCAGAGTGCCTGCTTTCAGAGGTTCTCAATTAATGCTTTTACTTAAGCTGGCAATTCTTAAACTCCCCCCTGAGATGGTGGCTTCACAGTAGCAAAAGCCTTGTTAGAGTTTGAAAAAAGGCTTAGAAGGCAATTTGATGAGTAAGGGATTGAGGGACTCAGAAATTAGGAACTAGAACTGGGACAGAAAGTCCCTTTGCTGGGGGAAGGAGTAATGGGGAACAAATGTGTAATGAGTCTAGGGTCCCCTTTTGGGGTGACAAAAATGTTTTGGAGCTTTCAGAGGTGAGGGTTGTGCAACATTGTGAATGGACTAAATGCCACAGAGCTGTTCACTATTAAAATGGTGGGTTATACTGCCACAATCCGCACAGCTAACAACAAAGGATTCTCTAGTAGGGGTGATGGGAGATGAAGAAAAACACAGGGACAAAGAAGACACAGAGGTAATTTCACAAAAAGCTGGGGTCAGGTGGGAGACTGCACTCTGATGGAGCAACAGAGACCCAGAACTAGCTCTGCACGTTTATTACATAGGGTCTCTGAATCAGGAAGTTAAACTACAGGGGCATTGTAAATTGTCCAAGGCTTGTTAAGTTGTCAGAGGCTTCTTTGTGCACTAAAAATTACAGAGCTACAAACATTTTTTTCTAGCTATCCTACTGTTGCAGTGCTAAGAACATTTTGCTATTATCCTGCTATACCCAGGATATCCATTGTCTTGGGATGCCTCATAACTGTTAGCATCAGAGCTGAGAATCAAGGCTGATAACATCCTCACTTTTGGCAAGCAATGTTCCCCAGGCTTGACTTTTAGCTGATGACTGGGGGCTCATCAGCGCTCCATATCGCCTTGCTTTTTATTTTTATTTTTTAATTTTTTTGCCCCTGGGGATTGAACCCAGGGACACTCAACCCCTGAGCCATATCCCTAGTTCTTTTTATATTTTATTTAGAGACAGAGTCCCGCTGAGTTGCTTAAAGCTTCGCTAAATTGCTGAGGCTGGCTTTGAACTTGCAACCCTCCTGCCTCAGCCTCCCAGGAAGCGGGATTCTAGATGTATGCCACCACGCTCAGCTCCTCCTTTCTATTTTTTAATCGCAACCAATGCATGTCTACTTGAAGTTATTGGAGCTGGGATCAGATGAGCTTGCTGCTGACACCGAGAAAATAATACAGAATTAAAAGTAAGGAAACAAGCCCTATGAGACACCATAAATGTGCAGGAATATGCAGTAAATGTTAGCATATTCCAAGGATTGAAACCATTTAGGTCATTTAACAGCTTTTCTACAAACTTGGCAGGAAATAACATAGAAATCTTAATTTTTCTCATATCTTAGATGTAACGGTGTAATTGTAAAAGATCTAAACTAACATTGTTATGATTCCAAATACCTGATCTTATTCCAATCCCATTGAGAGCTATCATATAAAACAGGAGGTGTAAAACAAATAAATCAATAAACAATATGACATTGTAATTGTTGTCTGACCTTAAGACTTTGAATCTGATCATTTAAACTCATTATAGTAGCTTCTAAAAGATTTAACTTAGCTTTAAGTTTATCATCAATAGCCTCCTGATCTTTGAGGGTTTCTTTCTTCTTTTTTTTTTTTTTTGGTACTAGTGATTAAACTCAGGGGCACTCAACCCCTGAGCCACATCCCAACTCTATTTTGTATTTTATTTAGAGACAGGGTCTCACTGAGTTGCTCAGTGCCTTGCCATTGCTGAAGCTGGCTTTGAATTCCTTCTGCCTCAGCCTCCCAAGCCACTGGGATTACAGGCATACGCCACCATACTGGGCTCTTGGAGAGCTCTTGAAGTATTTTGTGCCAAGTGTTGACAAAACAAGCTGATCCATGTCCTGTGCCAGAGAAACAGAGGCAGTGTTTGCAGAAGCAATCATGGTAATTAAAATAACAATACCAAAGACTGTAAGTCCCACTTCACTCCATGAGCCAATCAGTTGATTATGAAGTTCTTGAAGAACCTATAGCCCTGCATCTTGACATCAGTCTTTTATATTTGCTAGTGAGAAGCATAAGGAAGGAAGACTGGTATAAAGCCAAAATATCTTGATCTTTGTTATGTCTAGTCACACAGTTACTAAGATTATAGTTAGTACACTGTACAAAATGTCAATTACTGTCCATTTTTGTGATATTAGTATTTCCCGTTAATAACACAGGAGTCTGGACACGCACCTGCAACCATAACATGAGTTAGCGATACAATCACCTGTTAGATCTGCAAGCAATTGACTAGAGTTAACAAAATCTAAAGCAGTAGCTAGATGCCATAAATCCTTCTGAATGCCTCCTGATCGTATAGTCAAGATATTACTAGCAAACCCTCCAGGAGTTGTAAGTTCATTATGAGGATGTGCTAAATCAAACTTATGAGACCAGTTTAGGACATATGGCTCAGACTGGGAAATATCATGTCTTACAGGAACTAAATTAGCACAATCTAGCCAATGAGGAAAGTCCCAGTTTTGAAGTGGTGGAATTAGGGCAATAAGGAAATGGAGGGTATTTGACAGAATCCTTATAACCAGAATTAGGAAAACCTATTTTGATAATAATTTGTACATTTTTTTTAAATCCCAAGGACCGGAAACTGTGGCAACACGAGTACCATCGTAGGATATCTTATATTCCTGGGACACTTGTAAGCACTCTGTTTTTTGATAAATAGACAAATAGGAGTCTCAACACTATATCCAGAATAAGTACAATGTAAGTAATGATAGGGAATGATATGAAAATCAGATTGACACCCCCATCACAGCAGAATAATTTGTAAACACTGGGAGAGATCCTCCAGCCCAAGTAGCAGAATTAATTACCGCAAGATCTGAAAAATATGTGCAATAAGTTCCGCCTGTCACCCTACATACTTGACAACCTACAATGGCCAACATTGCCATAAACACGGTAGCTGGTGTCATAGGGGCCCATTGACTCTCAACCACATTTTGAGCTTCGATTGTCAACTTTTTTTTTTTTAAAGAATTTCTTTTTTAGTTGTTGGTGGACATGATACCTTTATTTTGTTTATTTACTTTTTATTTGTTGCTGAGGAGCAAACCCAGGGCCCCAAACATGCTAGGCGAGTGCTCCACTACGGAGCCACAACCCCAGCCCAATCATCAACTTCTCCATCTGATCCCAAGTTGGGGGATTTGCACTTAGTGTGCCTTTTGCTGGGTGCTTATTTCTCTCAGTTTTTTCTTTTCTTCTGAGATTTTGGGGGTGCCTGTTGCTGAAGCCACTGTTTCTAGAGCAATCCTCAATCTTTTGAACTGGGGTTCCTGTCTGGCTGTTGGATCCATGTTGATGACGCACTGCTCTCTCAGGTATCCAAATCCGCTTCTCAGCACCTTCTGGAAAAATAAAAGCATAACCTCTTCCCTACATCATTACTGGATTTGGCTCATTCCATTATCCTGACTGTAAATCTATCTGCCATACCATTCCTGCAGAACAAACTAGAGACTTGATAGCTCTCAGCTGCAGTGTGGCTCTCCTCATCACAGTTTAAGAAATTTAAGCCAGCATACACTGCTGGTGGGACTGCAAATTGGTGCGACCACTCTGGAAAGCAGTATGGAGATACCTCAGAAAACTTGGAATGGAACCACCG